ATTTTGTCACAATAAATTATGTTGGAATAACAATTTATAAAATTAGGGTCCCTCAACTCATCAAAGTGTGTAATTATGGTCTTTTTCATCAACTATGTCAAAAATTTTGTCAAAACAAGTTATGTTGGAATGACGATTGCTACAATTGGGTTAAAGTTAAGAGACAATTTCTCCAGTTGAATTAAAGTTCAGAGACCAATGGTAATGAATTTTTAGTTGAGGGACCATAGCTGCACGTTTTGATGAGTTAAGGGACCAATGGTAATAGATTTTTAGTTGAGGGACCATTGCTCCAATTGAGTTAAAATTAAGGGACCATAGCTACAATTTACTCTATTATTAAACTTGGAACATAAAAACTTTAACTGTTGACCTTATAAACAAAAATTCAAATGAATCAACCAAACTAACAAAAAAACTAGTCTCTCCCCCAAAACCTAAACTACACATTGTCCTCAACGTAAAATCACAACAAAAAGATGCACAATGAGTAGTATGGGCAAGAAAGGAAGAAAATGCAAAACTAATTAACAAGGAAATGAACGACTGAACTTGGTTGGGCTGCCTCCCAACAAGCACTTAGTTTAAAATCCTCGGCCCAACTTGGCGTTGCAATCACTCGGGAGAAGCAAGGGTCACAACATTCGTGTTTCACTCAAAATTGGCACAAAGATACGGCTTCAACCGCTGTCCATTAACTTTGAATGTAGTATCCGTTGTATGATCACGAATTTCAATTGTTCCATACGGAAAAACTTGAATAACTGTAAAAAGACCAGACCATCATGTTCGCAACTTCCAAGGGAAGAGTTTCAACCGAGAATTAAACAAAAGAACTTGTTGGCCAATATAGAACTCACAATGAAGAATGTGTTGATCATGCCACTTTTTGGTACGTTCCTTGTTGATTTTAGCATTTTCATATGCATCATTCCGAAATTCTTCCATCTCATTCAATTGAAGAGCTTTTTTTTCTCCCGCTGCATCCATCTCAAAATTAAGCTTCTTCACTGCCCAAAAAGCTTTATGCTCCAATTCCACAGGTATATGACATAATTTTCCAAACACCAATCAATACGGAGACATGCCAATTGGAGTCTTGAATGCAGTCTGATATGCCCACAACGCATCATCCAACTTTGCAGCTCAATCTTTGCGTGAAAATCCTACAGTCTTCTCTAAAATCTACTTGATCTCTCGATTGGAAATATCAACATGCCCACTAGTTTGTGGGTGATAAGGTGTAGCAACCTTATGTGTGATTCCATATTTCGCCAAGAGAGCATTAAAGTGACGATTACAAAAGTGCTTGCCTCCATCACTAATAATCAAGTTTCTAAAAAACGCTAGGCACTAGTCGGGCGGCGGGCTAGCGCCTAGCGCCTAGGCGGATTTAGGTAAATTTCTTGTATATCTTGTAAATAAGTGCATATTGACACTTACAAAAAATTATACTTGTATGAAATTCATGGATAAGATAATAAAAGAATGATAAAATGCAAAAAGAGTATCCAACAAGTCCAAAATTTAAAAACACATTAAGCATATATGCCATATAACCATAGTGAGGAGTATTGTAAGATGACACATGTACAACAAGTTCACAATTTAAAACAACATAAAATGGAAAATAGAAGGAAAATAAGGAAATTTAGTAATGTAAGATACTTATCTTTAGTAATGTATAATTTGAGGATTTTTTTCTTGGTTAATTTTGTAACATTTACTTACCCCATATATATTAATCATAGTTGGACTTTGTTTTTAATTGGAAAAACAATTGGACCAGGTTTCCCTCATTAAAAATATAATTATTTAGTCCTAAAAAACCACACACGTGGCAAAGTCAAACAAAAATTTCTCTTCCTACATAAATTTTCACTCTTCCCGTGAGCCCATGACACAAAAACCAAAAACCGTTATCTCTCCTCTCTCTCGCTCCCTCTCTTTTTCCAGAAATCTGTAGCAAGCAGCCATAGTTTCCGATGCATATGCAGATGCCAAATGCGGGGTGCGAGATGCGATGCAGGTGTTGGAAACTTGGAGTTGCAGATGCTACGAGAGTTCGAGGCGAGAGAGTTGCAGTCTTGTAAAGCCTTCGGTGGTGGCGAGAGTTGCAGAGCACCTTGTGCGACGGCAAGAATTTCAGACCGCCTAGAGCACCGCCTAGCGCCATCTAGACCGCCAGAGCGCCAAGCGGGTGCCTAGCGGCCGCCTAAGTCCCTATCGATTTTTTAAATGATTTTCCCCAAATCGCAGCAGGCTTCCACAACCGAACGCCTAGGCGCCGCCTTGAGCGTTTTTTAGAACACTGCTAATAATGGCGCACAAGGTGCCAAGGCGAGTGAAAATATGCTTCCAGAGAAAATGAAGAACAACCTTCGCATCATTAGTGGGTAAAGCAATTGCTTCAACCCATTTTGAAACATAATCCACAGCTACCAAGATGTACTAATTGCCATAAGATGATAGAAATGGTCCCATGAAGTCAATACCCCATACATCAAAAAGTTCAACTTCTAGAATATTATTCAACGGCATTTGATGTCTACTTGAGATATTTCCAACACATTGGCAGCGATCACGTGCAGAAACAAAAGTATGGGCATCCTTAAACAATGTAGGCCACCAAAAACCAGATTGTAGTACCTTTGGCAGGAGTCTTTGTAGCACCAAAATGACCACCACATGCTAGAGAATGGCAATGTCGCAAGATTTCCTTCATCTCGTCATTAGGAACACACCGTCTTATACATTGATCTGGACAATGCTTCCACAAATACGGCTCATCCCAATAATAATGTCTGACTAACGAAATGAATCTTTTCTTCTGTTGCCAAGTCAAATCAGGAGGCATGATATCTAAATAATTGACATAATCTGCATACCAATGAGTGACTGAAGATTTAATGGTAAAGAGTTGCTCGTCAGGGAATGTTTCAGAGATGGAAACTAAGTCATTATCACCTTCATGATGCACAATTCGAGAAAGATGATCTGCCACCACATTTTCAGACCCCTTTTATCTCGTATCTCTAAATCAAACTCTTGTAGTAACAACACCTATCGAATCAACCGAGGCTTTACATCTTTCTTGGATAATAAATACTTCAAAGTTGAATGATCGGTGTAGACAATTACCTTTGAACCAATGAGATAAGAACATAATTTGTCTAAAGCAAAGATAACGGCTAGAAGATCTTTCGGTAGTGGCATAATTTAGTTGTGCGTCATTGAGAGTTCGACTAGCATAATAAATCACATGTAGGAGCTTGTCTCTCTGCTGACCCAAAACTGCTCCAATAGCATAGTCACTTGCATCACACATAATCTCAAAAGGTATATCCCAATCCGGTGCAACTATCACAGGGGTTGTCGTGAGCTTCATTTTCAACACATTGAACGCCTCAATACATGATGAATCGAATACAAACTCCGCGTCTTTAAGGAGCAAGTTACACAATAGTTTTGTAATTTTTGAGAAATCCTTAATAAAATGACGATAAAAACCAACATGACCAAGGAAACTTCGAACTCCTTTGATGGAAGTGGGTGGCGGTAACTTCGAAATTGTCTCAATTTTCGCCTTGTCTACTTCGATGCCTTCGACTGAAACTTTATGACCCAAAACAATCCCTTCTTTCACCATAAAGTAGCGTCCGTGGCTGAAGTAGTAAATCTCACGTTTTCATTGGAATCTCATTGTATAAAGTTTGTTCTCGCATGATTTCGCCAGTTTCCCTTGATGTCTTATGGTTGTAGTAAACCAAATTTCTTTTATCTTCTTATTACTGAAAATAGAGAACCTCAACTTGTAGTGTGTATTCTTTAATCATTCTCTTACTATAAGGCGAGAGAAGAGAGAAACGGTCATGTCGCTACACACTCTGTGATACGGTCATGTCGCTACACACTCTGTAATAGGTAAGTTTCTGTCGGTTTTGACATTAAGACGTGTATATTGGTTTTAAGAGACTTAGGTTAGAACTCCCAAGGATAGAACCAAAAAAAAAAAAAAAAAAAACAAAAACAAAAAAAACAGAAGGAAAATGCAGGCTATCAAGTCAGACAATGATGCCTGTCCAATCTCTCTTAAGTAGCATCGACATAAACCATTAGCCTTTTGTTTTATCTATTCAAGCCTTTTGTTTTGACATAGACAATATCGACCAGAAGTTTATTCTAAACTCGATCGGACCTTGAACATAACGTTTTGCGTTTAAACAAGGAAGGTCAACATCATTCGCTAATCAACAATGGTTCTTTTAAAGCTCGAAAATCGTCTATTATTTGCAAATCGATAACTAGAAAGATGGATTTGTCCAGCATGACCACACTTCTGTTGTTAACGCTGTTGCAGATCAACAATGCAGTATCGAATGTTGAGGAAATCCAGACGTACATCATTCACATGGATCATTCCCACAAACCCGAATCGTTCTTAACGCACGAAGCTTGGCACAAGTCCACCGTAAAGTCATTGTCGTCTTCGTCTCCTGCAGAAAACGGTGATGGCAGTGAAATGTTGCTGTACTCATACAGCCATGTCATGCATGGGTTCAGTGCAAGGCTCACTCCTTCTCAGCTGTCTAGATTGGAGAAATCCCCGGCTCATGTTGCCACGTATCCCGAGTTTTTTGGCAAGATGTTCACAACTCACGGCCCTAAGTTTCTTGGACTTAGGCAGAATCTCGGTTTATGGCCTAATGCCTCATTTGGCCAAGATGTGATCATAGGTATTCTTGATTCAGGAATTTGGCCAGAAAGTGAAAGTTTCGGCGATAAGGGAATGTCAGAGGTGCCATTAAGATGGAAAGGCGTGTGCGAGAATGGAACTGCATTTACCCCGTCTCTCTGCAACAAGAAGCTCATTGGTGCTCGATCTTTCAGCAAAGGGCACAAGGCTGCAGGTATACCGATTAGCAAAGAATATGACTAGGATTCACCCAGAGACTTCTCTGGTCACGCAACACACACATCATCGACAGCTGCAGGCAACCATGTGCTCAGCGCAAGTCATTTTGGATATGCAAAAGGCACGGCAAGAGGGGTGGCACCGCACTCACATGTTGCCATGTACAAGGTCTTGTGGGTGGCATTCAAATAAGAGTGCAGCTAGTGATGTGCTTGCCTGGATGGATCAGGCAATTTCTGATGGTATTGATATCATGTCACTGTCTCTTGGCTTCGACTTCCTTCCTTACTACAATGATATCATTGCCATCGGTTCTCTTTCAGTAGTTGAGAAGGGAATTGTTGTCCTATGCGCTGCTGGGAATGATGGTCCTTCTCGTAACTCAACCTACAATGGAGCACCCTGAATCACGACAGTAGGAGCTGGCACACTTGATCGTACTTCCACTGCAACCTTGACTCTAGACAATGGATTCACAGTTGAAGGAGAATCATACTTCCCCAAAAGCGTTTACAGTGCTGATAAACCGTTGTACTACGGGAAAGACAGCGTGAGGAAATCAACATGCGATTTTGGGGCATTAGATCAGAAAGAAGTGGCTGAAAAAGTACTCTTCTGTGATAATCCCAGGGGAGGTGGCATTGATGGACAGCTGGAAGAGGTAAGAAACGCATTCACCATTCCTGCTTTAATTCTACCAATGGCAAAAGGCTATTTAATTAAAGAGTATGCAACAAGAGCCAATACAACTCAAGTTAAAACCCTTACCTTTGTAAACACCAATCTGGGGACAAAACCGGCATCGCAAGTGGCGTTTTTGTCTTCAAGAGGACCAGACCCCATCACCCCAAGAATTCTAAAACCCGACATAATTGCTCCCGGTGTTGATGTACTCGCTGCAGTTGCACCTAACAAGAGGTTCATGGAAGTAAACAACTATAATTTGGCGTCAGACTATCAACTAATATTAGGGACATCAATGGCAGCACCTCATGTTGCAGGAGCTGTAGCTCTCCTAAAGGCTGTTCACCACGAATGGAGCCCTGCTGCCATTCGATCAGCGATCATGACCACAGCATACAACCTCGACAACACTGGAAACACCATAAAAGTCTTGCTGCCACGCCTTAGAGTTCGGTGCAGGCCATATCAACCCGAACAGAGCCATGAATCCTGGACTCGTCTATGACATGGATGTGCAGGACTATATCGAGTTTCTATGTGGCCTTGGATACACTACCAAGCAGATGAGCGCTGTTATCCGACGAAATCAATGGAGTTGCAGGCAACAACCTACTGAGCTAAACTACCCTTCTTTTATAGCCATCTTCAACGGCACAGACAACTCTCCGAAAGCAAAAAACTTCACTAGGGTTGTGACAAATGTGGGAGATGATGCATCAAGTTAATTTGCATATTTGGAGGTTCCTAAAGGAATGAAGATTGCAGTGGAACCTAGCACTCTATCATTCACTGGAAAGAATCAAGAACAAGGTTTCACGTTGAGAGTCGAGAATGATAGCAACGCTTCGAAGGTGACGTATGGCCATCTGAAATGGATTGATCAATATAATCACATAGTGTCTAGGGCTGGAAAAAAATCCCAAAAATCCCAAACCAAACCAAAAAAATCCCGATCCCAAACCAAAAAAATCCCAAACCAAAATTCCCGAAATTTTCGGGACGTAATCCCAAACCAAACCGAAAGTTTCGGTATGGGATTCGGTATTGCATTTCATTTTTTCGGTATTCCCATACCGAACCGAAAAAAAAAAATATATATATATATATAATTTTTTTAATTATAAGAGAATTATTTCAACCGTTGATTATTTTGGATTTAATCTATGCCGTTGATTTGTTTTTAGGTCAGATCACATTTCAGTTCCTCCGTTCATTCGATCCCTCAAGAATCCAATCCTACGACCAATCCTATTCCTACCAGGCCTATTATCCCTACAATCACCCCCAACAATCCGACCACCAACAACAATACCAACAATACTACAATCCACCACCACCACCCCAATTACCAACAACAATCCGACCAACACATACCAACAATACTACAATCACCACCACCCACCACCCAGGATTACGCCACCGCCCACCCACCACCAATACCATCAAGAACCCATTTCGATTCATCCTCCCGGGGTCCCACTTCCGCCCCAACAGCCACAAACGGCGGATCCTGACCCGACCCATTTGCAGAAGAATGCGTATTACCCACATGGGGTTGCGGAGGATCAGAGAAGCAGCAGGTGGATTCGAGCTCGGGCTATGGTGGGTTGAATCCAGCGGCCGTGGCAGCGCTTTCGCAGCTCTCGCAGCTTACTGGGAACATCGAGGCGGCCCAGCGGACTGCTCAACCCCCGGTAAGTGGTTGGTTTTCTTATTTCTGGTTTCAATTTAGCATTTTTTGTTATTAGGCACTGGGAATTCTTGTTCTTATAATAATGCGATGCCTTTTCTCTTTATCAGTCCAGTCTTATGAATTTGATGTGTATAATCTACTTGTAGTTCGGGGCATGTTTTCGCATTTAATTTGATTTGTAGAGTGTGAACTTTGTTTTAAAACATGTTATATATTTTCTCGAATGTCTTCTTTCATTTGGTGAAATTCGGGTGGGGGTGAATTTATGGAACTTTTGGCTTTCGATATGAAGGTTATATCTTGACAAAATTCGTGCTATTTAGTTTTGACTGTAACTAGATAAGCAAAAGGAGTGGAACTTGAGTCACAGAAACTGAAGGTCATGTCTTCTTGACAAAATTCGTGCTATTTAGTTTTGGCTTTCGATATGAAGGTCATGTCTTCTTATTTGATTGAATCAAGTTAAGCCCATATGGGGCTGTTACATTCAGTGGGCACGGCCCAATATTAGGTTTTTGTCCAATTGGACCAATATTAGCTTTTTTTGTCCAAAAGCCCAAAAGCCCAAAATTATTTCGGGATTCCCGATTTGTCCCGAAATTATTTCGGGATTCCCGAAAATTGGGATTCCCGAAAATTTGGTTTGGGATCGGTATTGAAATTGAGATTCCCAAAAATTTCGGTATGGGAATCGGGACAAGAGTTTCGGTATGGGATCCCATACCGAACCACCCCTAATAGTGTCAAGTCCTGTAGTGGCCGTAAATTACTAGTTTCATACAGAGAAGTACAGCAATTACTATCAGAATTTCAGTGATGATCGGAAATGGGTTTCATGATCTTTTAGTAAGTAGCTGCATTTTTCTGGTTTACGCGACACGTCAACAGAGACCACAGATTGTCAGTCCAAAAGTGAAAGAAAAGAAAATCAAAACCATCAAAGCTTTTGGTGTGTGGGGGACCTAAAAGAACAAAAGAGCCGGAAAGAAAGAAACAGAAAGAAGGTCCCTCTAATAACTTTTACATTAACACCAAAACCAGCAACACTGCGTAATTTGAGGGGTCCAAAGGAATCATCATGCCCTTGTGCATGCATATGACATCCTTAGCTGTCAAACCTGATCGAATGCTGTCGGGCCCGAATGTTTCTAAGTAAACCCTAAACCTAGCACGAAACCCACTAATGCCGTTGATTACGCCTCTTAACTGAAATGTCCTAGTAAAACCGTTGGTCCTTTTCGTTCTTTTTCAGTCAAAGGATTCAACAATGAGAACTTACAGCTTACCTAACAGAGCGGAAAGACAGTCAAGGAACAAACTTTATACAATGAGACTTTAATAAAGACGCGAGATTTACTATTTCTGAAAACTGAATTACCATAACAAAGCCGGTGGAATGAAAAACCGTGTTCTGGTTATTCAGCTTACGTTGAGAGGAGGGAACAAAATGCTAGAGAATCCACCGAAGTGCAAGCTCATATTGACATGAATGGGGCTATACAGGGAAATAAATAACAGATAATTTAACTTCATCACCTAGACAGAGGCATAGGGCCAAAACGAGGTGCGTCAATTCACCTCACACATGAAACTGGTGGCTGGTGAGAGGCTAATGCTCTTCTTCAACTTCTTGCTTTCTCCATAACAACATGTTAGTTTGGGCACTACTCTCATACCCGCTACTATCACCTGATTCAATCACACGCTTGTCCATCCTTCCAGCATCACGTGGTGAACGTCCATGTTCTCTTCCAGCCCTGCGCTCCTGAAATTATTTGCACAAAAAAAATCATAGATGAGAAACTCAAATCCATGCAGGTAGAAGTAGATCTTTGTTTTACGTGCTTTCATGTTAAAAAACAAAAAAAACAAAAAGAAAAGGGATAGAAACCTCATTTGCCATAAGAAAACTTTTATATAGAAATTGCACCAATTTGCAGACAAAAAGTTCCCCTGAAACCTACACACTTATTAGTTCGTATTAATCTAGTGTAACAGAAGTTGCTTACATGCACAGTGCAATAAGTGACTGAGAAGTTCATGAAATACGCTAGGTTAAAAGTTTTCTTATCATCCACTAATATTAGCATTTAAGATGAAACAGAATAAATTTTTGGCAATTGTGATAACAAGATCTAGGGAACTCCAATTATTTATCTCCAAGATTTGCACATTAGACAAATTGAGAATGTATTACAACACCAGATCAAGGTAAAAGACATGCATCATGTGTTAGCAAATAATGTGAAATCTAAATATCACACCAATCCTTCATGATGTAGAATGCAAGTCTATGAAGACAAATAAGGAAACACGTAGAAAGCAGTTTCAAACAAGGTGTAGCATCATAAACCAGCTAGGAAACAGACATCCAGCTGGAAAGATTAATTAGGGGAAGAAATTAATGCAACTTACATCTCGGAAAGGGAACTCATCAGCCTCAAGCATATGTACCACATGCCCCATTTTAGGCCTCTTCTGAGCATTTGGGTCCACGCAACGCAATGCAACCAAAAGAGCACGCTTCAGTGCTCTGGAAGAAGGCTTCTCTGGTAACCTAGGATCCAAAACTCCCTCAGCGTTCCGATTTGTAACCATTGCTTTAAGCCACTCAACTAGATTCACCTGAAGTATGATCACCAAGCAGTACCAGTTATTCTGGTTGGAAGACAATGTATTATCAAGTGAAGATCATGAAAACAAACCTCTCCTGGAGCGCGGCTATAGTCCACTGGGTTTCTCCCAGAAATTATCTCCATTATGAGAATTCCGAAACTATACACATCACTTCTTTCATTCAACATACCAGTACTGGCATATTCTGGAGCTACATATCTACAAAGCAAAACCAAATGTGTGATTCAAGTGTGCAAGAACAAGGTCATAACTTACGTAGAGAGGTTAAACTCACCCGAATGTTCCCATCACTCGAGTTGTCACGTAACTCCTTTCTGAGCCAAGTAGCTTTGCTAAGCCAAAGTCGGATACTTTTGAATTCCACTGCTTATCAAGTAAGATGTTGCTAGACTTAATATCACGGTGAACGACCTTTGGCTCAAGCCCCTCATGCAAGTAAGTCAACCTACAATGTTGGCAGAGTTTATGTTAAGGTAAACCATGGAGAATCGAAATAACTAAGGTAATTTAATACAAGGAATACCCTTTCGCTGTCCCGAGTATTATATTCATACGACTCTCCCACACAAGAGGACTTGTAGGCCCAACATCACCATGAAGCCATTGTTCCAAATTTCCATTGTCAACATACTCATACACAAGCATTCTACAAAAACCCTACTGCATTAGCGCAATCATAAGGAAAGGATATTATAGTTAATCCAAAAAGAAGAAATAATCACAAAGATTCTTAACGAATTAGCCATCAAGGATTCAAGAGAAGGTCATGCATTAAACCAAAGATCAAAACTCGAAAGGATACACAATATAACAAATGAAGATAAATTACCTATGAGCTCCTTCAGCACAATAACCAAGCAACCTCACTAAATTCTTATGGCGAACACGGCCAATCGCTTCAACTTCGACCTTAAACTCCTTCTCGGCTTGTCCCCTGAACCAAGCAAAGTAAAATCTTCAAGCTTCCTCATGCCGAATTCCCCAATACAAAGTTCATGCAGCAGTTGGAACAAAAATATATATTTTCCCAAAATCCATGAAAATCTAACAAATTTAACTAACTCCACAAGATAAAGCTCTCAGATTTCCCAACTGGGTTCACTTTAAACATGATTATAATCTCAAACTGACCATAATTAGTACGATATTAAGCGCATATCAAAAATTAAATTTACAAAACCGTAACTACATACTTGTTATTAAGCAGATTTTTTACAGCAACAATCGTATTATCCTCCAAAACACCGCGGTAAACAATTCCATAGCCGCCTTCACCAATCACATTCTCGTCGGCAAACCCATTAGTGGAATCCTCAAGCTCTCTGAGAGTGTACCAATGGCCCCACCCCAAATGTGAAACCTCCGGCGCGGCGATCATTCCCTGGTCCCCAGACCGAACCTCGCCGCTGCCATGAGACGACCCGCCGCCGCCTTCCTTCTCCGGGTACGAAATCCGGTGGTCCTTCCCAATCTCAATGTGAATTCTCTGCCGGCCGCCGCTCCCAGCCGGGCTTTCGTGGTGATCGTCCTGCTGAAGAAGCAGGGGTTGGGGTCTGGCGCCGGAGGAGTCAGAGTCGGCAACCGGGTCGGGGTGACTCTGGTGGTTGGTGGGTTTCGGGTCGGGTTGCGATGGGTGGTTCCGGGCCTGGTCAATTCTGATTTCTTGGATCTCTTTGGAGACGTTTGGGATGGTGGAGAAGTTGTGGGTAAAGGTCTTGGCTTTTGAGGAGGCGCTGTTGCGGCGGGAAGTGAACCAGAGAGAGATGAGGAAGAGGACGAGAACAATGGCGGCTCCGACGCAAATTCCCAAAACTACCCACAAATGCAAACCGAAAATGGAGGTCCTCTTCGAGAGCTGGTCGTTCAGAAACGAGTAGCCCGACATTGTAGACTCTAATTCCACTCCTCCTCCTTCCTCACAGAAGAAGAAGAAGAAGAAAGCAGAGAAAGAAAGAGAGGAGACAGAGAGACTGTGGGGACTGTACAAATGGGGAAATTGAGAAACTGGGGTGGTGAGCTCAGCTCAGTGTGAATGGGGGATGAGAGAGAAAGTGAGGAGAGAGAAGCACGAATCAGATGATGAGAATGCTCCACAAGCTGCTGCTGCTGCTTCTACCATATGCTTGTTTTTTATGTATTTACAAGTGTAAAATGTTATATTTTATCTTTTTTTTATTAAGAAAACTAATGATAATAACTTGAAAACTTTGTGTTTTAAAGACAAAATAAATGGTAAAGTAAATAGTACTATGATTGACTTTTTAGTGTAAAATTATGTTTTTTCGTTAAAATGAATGGTACCAAAAACTTTTCGTTAAAGTTCCATTTTTTTTTATTTCGTCCAGTGCACACTCATTTAATTTGACTATAGATACTCTGCTCCTACACCATAGCAAAAATGTGGTAATAAATGTAGCTTGACACATTAACTATGCTTAATTATGAGAAAAATGCTAGAGTCAATTGTTTTTCGACGCTTAATTGTTGTGCACGTGATCCTGTGCATTACAATCTTCTTGCCTATTTGTGCACTCAGAATTATTTTTGTCTACTAAATATTCTTTGATTATTTAGTCTAAATGTTATTAAAAAAATAAAAAATTTGATCAAAGAAGAAGAAAGGTGTGCAGAATTCACTTCTCTCGAGTTAAATCACATGATCCATTACTTTTGTTAGGCTTGTCAATTTCTTTGAATTTCATTCCTACTAGTGTACTACTCGTATGAGATACTTAACACATTGGCTATATCATTGCACAACTGATACATACAATGTTAACTTGCACGAGGGTTATAATTTTCACACACATTTTTTTTTCTTATACACACTCCTTTAGTTTTATTGCTCTTAAATTGAACTATTAAAGTAAAAACAACGGTTAAGATTAACAAGGAGTGTGCATAGGATAAAAAACAATATGTTGAAGCCATTACCGTTTGCATTATTTACGGCTAGGACCAGTGATGCTTCTAATCTCATTTGCTCCTCTAACTTTGGTCTCTCATTGTAAATGTCGGTTGCTGATTTCGCGGGTAGTGTTCTCTTAGTATAAAAGTTTAAAAGACTATTCATATCAATTTTATTTTAGTTTTTGGTCATAGTGCTACACTTAGATGCACACACTCTCTTAACTTTGTCATTAATTAATACAATTTAATTCAATTAAAATATGATTACTTGGTTGTGGGCTATTGATTTTATTTCTTCATAGGATACGATGCTCACTACTTTTCTATTCAAATTTCAAATATTCCGATTAAGTTTAAGTGTGACAGTCAGAATTAGGTTCTTTATCATTAAATCTTTTAGTTGTTTTTTTATTATTTTCTTCCGATATCGTGGAATTTTGCGTATGACTCTTGTGGGATGCTTAATGACATTTTAATTGATCCTCAGATAGATTATAATTGTGATTAGGATTAGGATTAGGATTGCTCTTGTGGGATTTTGGGAAGGGGATTATTAAGAGGTAAATGGGCCGTTTTCAGTGGGCCCACAAAGAACTGGACACTTGTGTAGGTAGACTTCAAAACCAGCGAGGCCGTTGGCTGGCGAAAGCTCTTGCTCCTTGTGTTGTGCTATAGAATCTCTCATTTTCACACCAAACTTGACCATTACGATTTTTATCACGTGACATTTTTTAATATTCATGAAGGATAGTACTGTTTGCAAACTCATTTTCATCCTCACACACGTTTGTTAATTTTTTGTAATTGATCTTCTTCAATTCATTCAATCTGATGGTCAGGAACTAAGAAGAGTGTGTAAAGAGTAAAAATGAGTGTATGAATATGACTACCCTTCATCAATTATGTTTCTCAAGTTTTAAATCAATCATTGTCGTTCTCAATGTTTGCTTTTGTGCATCAATATGATCACCAACTGTTTTAATTCGTCAAAAAACTTATTAGTGTACTAACGCAGCACAATTTAGAGACAATTTTATACGGAGAGAGGTTAGATTATATAGACTTAAAGTAAATTATTGCCACGTTCTCTTTTTACATAACAATATTTTGAACTACTTTATTTATTATAAGAAAATTTAAATTTGAACACAAAGAAACTTGACACATTCTTCTAATCAATTGGCTTACATACGCATCTACGATTAAGAGCAAGCTATTTAAATCGAGTCACAATCAAAGCGTTTGCACAAAGGGTGGTTTTATGTCATACTCCGAGATCACTGTTAACACTTGCCAATATTTTACATGCTCCAATTAAGTTTAGTTTGGACGACAATAAGAAACACACTTTTTTTGGGTCACCTTTTTATGAACAAACCCATAAAACAAAAGAGTAAAAACAAAGAAAAGCAGACATGATAATGTGACTCGACAGTGTACTAGCCATGTGAATGGGGCATATCATCTCCTCAATGTCCTCATTGCCTCAAGGCATGAAACATATCTAGTACTAGTTTTAGATACGGTAAATAATCAGGTATGACACGAAAATAACATAAACACATAAAATTACAACATAAATGTTACGTCTAGTAAATATTGGCTTCATTACAATCTGCTGACTTAATCAAGTCGCAGAAGAGTTAAAAGCACTTTCAAACCACTAAACATTTTTTATATTTTCTAATAACATAGATAAGTACACGTGCTTATGGGTTTAAAAGCACTGAAATTTTTGGTGAAATGTTTGTTGATATTTAAGGAAGCACTTGAAAGTTTAGTAAAATTTATATTGTGTTTCTAATAAAGTGATTATGAACATAAATGTTTCAGTGTAGAAACACAGTCACTCCTAAACTAATGCTCCAAAAATAGTTGTAATTGTAACGGTAAAAAATAAGCGGAAAAAATCAGCCCAACCCAATTCAATTAGCTTCCAATATAGCACATTGGGCTTACTGGCCTAGAAAGTAGAAACACCAGCAAGATTCATCCAGAATTACTGAGCTAACTCAAGGAGAACTGAAGAAGTTGCAAGCAAAGATCAAAGGAAAAGCCCAATTTTACAGGCCACCAGTGGGCACATATAGTATCCACTCCACAAAACCTTTCCTAAAAGCACTTCAACTAAAAGCTCAATTTTCCTTGCTTCTTCTAGTTCTACTTCTATGGTAATCACGCTATCAAGTACATTTAATCAACATGACAAGAGCCACAAGTTCATTTCACCTGCTGCTAGTTTGAATATGTCCTCCACTGACAATGCCTCTGGAAAATTATCACAAGCTGCACCCGCCTGACCGGCACATAACGAAAAACAAGTTAAAAACAAAAAGCATAATTAGACAGCAGATTAACTAATTAAGTGATAATTTGGCCTCCTAATGAATGCTAAGTGATCATATGTATTCTTAGTCTACTTACATGAGCATGGATCATGTACATGCAACGATATCGATCCGAGGATACGTGAGCAGATACTACATCCAGCTTATGCTTCTCTAGTATGTAAAACATAGTAGTCAAGAGCCCTGGCTTTGGTGGTGAGCAAACGCTGATCTGAGCATCGTTGCCGCTCATGTTCATGACAAAGTTTGGGGAAAACCACGTCTGGAAGGAAGGCGGAAAAAGAGAAGCCGGCAATGCCAAGTTGTTTGATGTTGGTGGACCCTGATGAAAATGATCAGCCAAAAATGCTTCCCTTGTATCACAAGTTAACTCTGTGTTTGATGCTGTCAATGCAGAAAATTTGTCAAGCCCTTGTGTTTGTGTTGTTTGGAGAGTGTGCTCAAGGGATTTGATGTATCTTATTGCCTCATCAACAATGGTGGACTTATCTGCCTGCACATCATTGGAAAATAACAGCATATATTATCTTTTAACTTTTTTCGTTCTTAATATTGTAATCCATTCGGGATTTACTACCCAAATGATTATCGAATTTTTGCTAAACTGTTTAATCGAGTACAATGACGTTATAGGATTCATAGATCCGACCTCACTCAATGAGATAAAGCTTTGTTGTTGTATATATGGTTTGTTTTAGGTTACTCTCTTTAGGCACAAATCAAAATATATAGTTTGTGCACAAATACAAGTGATAATGTCAGCGATAAACACTTGAAAAACACCAAAAGTGTAATAACAGTCGGGTGCAATAACAATCGAGTCCATGCGGATTTTCCTTAGACGCTAAATTTTCGTGAAACATATTGAAATTGTAGTTTAATTAATTTATACCTTAGCAGGAAGCTGAGGAAGCAAAGCATGAAGGTTGGAGAACATACTCCTCATCTTCTTCCTTCTCTCCCTCTCAGTCCAAGTGTGCACCCCATGATCCGATTCATCGCCCCAGCCATCACGATCACGGTCACCAACCTTGCCACTGCTTTCTTTTATCACCACCTCTTTCTGCTCCATTGTATTGGTAGGTGTGGGGCCACTGGAGCTCACCTTTTCCCGCTTTAACAACCACCACCACTACAAGTTCTTGAATTGGAATTTGAGTTTGAATTGGCAAAAGCCCAGATAGGTTTTCTATCGAAGCAGGACATGGGTAATTTTGTATGAATAAAATATATTTTTTATATAGGGATTATATAGCATACAGGGGGGGAGAGAGAGAGGGAGAGAGAGAGAGAGGGATTTGGTTAAGAGCTTCAGTGGGACGTTTTCAGAAAGAGGAGGAAGGCGACGAAAGGTGGCGGGCTTTTGAATATATGACTGGAATAGACAACAAAATACAATCATGAGACGAATGCCGTTACTTGGCGTCCAAACAAAAAGCGCGTTTTCCATCCTTCGAAATCGACTTCTCCGGACCCTCCTATATTGCCTTTACTCTCACCCTCCTTCGCCCTTTTTTATTACCGAATCACCCCATCCCTCTTAGAATATTTGATTTAACGCAAGTAGTAGTACGTAAATCTTTGGTCACTAGCTGAACAAGAGAATGAGACTCTTAACAGGAAGAGGACGTACGTAGGTACATTAGTTAGAGTTGATGTGCTCTCTTTCATAAAAAATACTGATTTAAAGCAAAATTTGTCTTCAAACCATTAATGCAGTTCTTTGTTATTGTCGAAAACGTACTGATAATATGTATGTATGATTTGTCTAAGACAATGATATCGATATATTATTTATGACGTATTGGCAACAAATGCTTGCTCCGTAACCAATAAGCTCCAATTCTAAATTTTCGTTTTTCTTTTTAAGTAACGACTCGAACTTATAACCTCTTTAAACATTAAAAGAAATATATCATTAGACGAAGCATAATAAGAGAAACAATGATCAATTACGCCACCTTCTAAATTTGTGTTTGTCATACTACTGTCATTTCTGTTTGGCCCCAAAACAACCAAGAAGTGTATCGTGGATTCATGGCATGTTGGTAAATTGAAGTGAAGTTGGAGGACGAATAGATTGCGAAATGCATTTAACGGCCGTTATGATGTTTATCAAACGAAAAGAAACTTCTGACACCGAAATGGCGGCCAAAGCATCCCATCCTTTCCATACATATGACATTGTCTCGTTGCAGACAATGAGACGGACAGAGGAAACGTTTCTTCATCCCTGTAACGCTATCGGCTGCTCATCTCTCTTGTCCTCATTTCAATGGCATTCCTGCTAATACTTCAAAGCCACTGTACATAATTGAGATTTACTTTTGACACGACAATTTTACTATGCTCCGGTATAGAGTATACACAAAAATAAATGGAGTGCTAAATTTATGAGACAAAAATTTCGGTGCATACTCTATATCAGTGGCGAAACTAGAAAATTAGTTTATCGGAGGTACAACTAAGTAGTAGAGGATGTAAGACTTAATCCTCGTTGCATCTCAACAACAATGAGCGCATTGCCAAAAAAACAAATTTTTTCAGTTTTTTCGATTAAGCATTTCATTGAGCACTTTGCCGAACCCTCCATTGTATGCTTAGTGCACATCCCCTCCTTTTAGTGCCTCTTAATTGTATTTTATATCAATATTGTTATAGTCAATAAAACAAAGAGTTAAATCATATACTATAGGGTCGGGAGCTCTCTATATAAGACGTACAATTGGGAGGAAGGTGGGTTAATGAGCTTTTTATTATTTTGAGAGAGAATGACCAACTTTAAATTTTCTCAAAAACGGTGTCATTTTGTTAAAAACGTATAGGTCTTTACATGTTCATATTCTTCATGAGGTGTCATAACCAACTCTTATATCTGCCTCTTGGTGGTCATGGACGAGAATTGAGTGACAATTACATTGAAGAGATGTCGATGTTTAGTTTCTGTTGAACTCAATGTCTTACAAAAAAAAAAAAAATTGAAGAAAGATATTTTGGGTAATTTTGTCAAATCATTTCCAACCAAAAAAATTGAGAGGGGCCACGTCTGTGCATGCTAGAAAATGTTTGTTTCTTATCATGAAGGACAGCAATTGAGAGATTAATCTAAAGCTCGAAAAAACCATGGCTTTATAAATCGAGAATACCAAGACTGGTACAAGTATTTTTATATAAATACAAGCTAAGAAGCATCAACAGTAGAAATCCGACAATCGCGTCAACCTGTTACACTTAGCAAAATATTAAACATTTATAACCTAATCAAAGTACGTATGTGAAGAAGTCAGCAGTTTCGAAGACGATGATAGTCTCTTGGTTGGTTGAAGAAAAAGGAACGGTATGAGAAAACAGGCTGCAATCTCATACATCAACGTCCGATGAAGTGCTTTTCCCTGTTCGAATGGTATCTAATTTTGTTTGTGGTTCACTGTCACTGACGAGTTCCTTCACGGAGCAAGAAAATGATCTGCATTAGTTCTCGAAATTTTTGTATGTTACTTCCATAATTCATGCTAGAGTTACCTTAGAGGAGGAGGGGACGCTGTAGGGTCTGTAGTGAGCTTGAATCGATGGTTCAAAACCAAACGTGGCTTCTGAAGTTGCTACATTTGCAACCGAGGGTATGACCATTGGCGGATTTGATATCATGCATCCAGCGGATAAATTAAAAGCAGATAGCACTGAGTTCTCGTGAGTCCCGTAAAAAGGGTTTATTCCTTCGCCAGATTTTGGAAATTTATTACTTCCTTCTTCAAATATACGAGGCAACTGCATAGGCTGCATGACTCCTGGTAAACACATCGGATGCAAACTCAATCCATTTCTCATTGTTAACATCTGAAATAACCAGAAACAAAATGTATGTCAGCTTCAAAATGAAAAACAAGGTTCCTTCAGGTAGCGGCTTCATACACAAGACACAAACTATTTAGTTGTGAGTCATATAATGTCCCCCCAAAATAATGAATATGCAGTACACCCGAAATCTTTCCATGAAAACCCAATTTGAGTTAGATGTCAATTAACAAACTTTGCCCTCCATCGCAATTTGATGATTTGTCTAGAAACCAAAATTGCACATCAGAGGACGTAGATCTCACTAAGTTTGGCTCATGACAAGAGCAATACATAATATCAGACTGTTAATTCACTTTCAATAAATGCCCAGAGACAAAGAACACAGTATAACGCTACTTCATAAAGCACATAGTAAGACCGTAAGAGAAAAGCTGGTCTAGGCCATGGAAAAACATCATATTTCATATGACATCAGATCACGGATGAACGACAACCAAGTCACTACAGCTTTCAAGAGGCTGCCAAACTGGTACGTGTTTAATAGGTTCTTCAATTAATTATACCAATGCATACCACATGGGCATGTGATACAGGCTCCCTATCTACTCCTCTCAAAATTTTGTATGAAAATTTTCGATAATCCCAACACATGTAGCAACATTTCTATAATTTGTCATTGAGTTTAGTCAGGCTTGTTAAGCACGGAAAGAATCAGATTCGCATCTAGTTGCCGCTTCAAGCAGCAAGGCTAGCACTCAATAGAATCCACATTGAACTTGGACAACAGAATATCAAGTACATAGCTAAAGTCAAGATGACTGATCTAGTGATCTTCGAAAGGATTACAAAAGCAAATGCTCGTAAGTTATCAGGATTATATTCCGAAAACAGTGAAAACCATCTCACCTGTACTTGAAGCTGGAGCTGCTTCAAATATTCAATCACTTCATCCAGCATTGACGCCTTATCCGTCTAAAAAAAGCACAAGATCAAATACCGACTGTTACTATGTAGCTAATCTCGCCTAATCCTCTTCTATTTGTTAACCAAAAAAACAAAGACTAATACAATTATTTGAAAAAGAAAGCACAAAAAGGCTGTAGAAATTTTTGGATAAAGAGTACCTTGTTAGAATTCGGAATCAGGTTCTGCAAAGCTTTCATCTTTTCATTAATCCTACTCCTCCTTCTCTGTCCACCAATCAAAATTACAACCCACAAATCAAATTCACATTGTCACATACTCGAATCGAAAACCTTTACGCACAAGGAAAAAGATCGAACCTTTTCCGACATATTATGGACCTCAGCAGCTCTGCTCCTCTTTGATGAACTCCGCGGCAGTGCCGAGTTCAGTTGCGCATCCGCCGCCTCCTCGAGACCCTTCTAATTCCACCAACAAACCCCCCAAAGATTTCAAATTTCCACGCAATTATTGTTGAACAAACTGATACAAACAGAATTAACACAACAAAAATTCTATACTTTTCGTTTTGTTAAACTGATTTATTCAATTTTTCCACCTAATTTTCTCAGCAACCAACAGAATTCAAAAAGTGAAAAATGGGAAGTACCTCACTGTCACAGCTATAACCGCCGAGATCATTCTCAGACGAAATCCTCCTCCCGTCAGACTCCATACCTTCTTTCACCTCCTCCGTGAAGTAGCCACCGGAATCGTAGAAATCGAAAGCGGACGACGAAGCCAACACACCAGCAGAGTTTGAATTTCCCCCCGCTACTCGCTGGTCCGTGCCAGACCGGTTCACCAATTGAGCAAACCGGCGATGATCCTCATGCCTGGCCTCCGGAATCAAGACCTCGGACGGCGTCGCCGCCTGGATTGGCGGCGGCACTGACGACTGCATGTAAGTGGGTTTAAAGGGCATGCAAGAAGAGGCGGAGGAGCCATGGCCGTGGATGAGCTGGCTTAGAATGTTCGAGATTTCTTCCGAGTCCGGCGCTGTTCCGTACAGATCCGCCATAGTTAAAAATTTGAAAACTTCAGAGGACGAGAAACAATTGAAACACTTTTACAGCCGTCAGAGCCGTCGCTGCTCAGCCGGAGACGGTGAGCCTCTCTAGTTCGTTGTTAGCATGGTTCCCAATTCTCCGTCGCTGCTCTGCCTCTCTCTCTCCTCTGTGTTTCTCTCTCTTCTTGTTCCGTGCTGTGATTCTGTCATTGGCATTTTCCATAAAACTCTTTTAAAAGAAGGTTTAAAGCCGTAAAGCTTGCAATTTGATTACTCTCCCGCGCTAATTGTCAAGTGCTCCGTCAGATGTTTACGTCATCATTCGCAGAAATTTCCCCTTATTTTATAAATTTGTAGACCTTCCCATTGTTTTATGTATATTGCAGACCCCCGCCCCTAGTTTTCTGTTATTTACCACAACGGGTCATAAGCTCAAATTTGTTGAGTTGTTTCACTTTAGTTTTCAAATTTTAAAATCTCAATTTAAAAGGATGACAGTGAGGCCTAATCACAAAAATTAAAGATCACATAGATGATTCATGTCTAGTATAGTGTTAGGTGTGAATTGACTTGTATGTCGGTCAATGTCACACCAACTTATAAGTTTCTGTAATTTTCAGTACTGACA